GAAGTGGAAATTGGTGGCGTTACAAAAGGTTCACTTCGTATCAAGCATGGTGTAGCTAGCAGGCAGCAAAAAACCAAGCTCGGGCAATGCACCGAAGGGCCAGGTATGACTGTAAGCATGAGATTGCGACAAAAGCAAAACAGAACCCGTAAAGGTTCAATGCTTACGTTCAATCCAAAAGTCATCAAGAGGGGAGATTGAATCATTGGAAAGCACTGATTGACGTATTGGCTTGAGTGGGAAAGACAATGCAAATACCCTTCAGATTTTCTTTAAGGGAACGTATTGACAGTCAGCGCCGTTAGATATGATAGATGGACTGAAGTATCACAGTTGGTCGAAATGACCGTATCGACAAATGAAACGGTTCTACACGACTTAGCTTCTCTCAACAAGTTCAAAGAAGCAGGACTGAATGGTATTCATCTCGCTATTGTTAAACCTTTAGCGGGTATACTCCAAGGGCCTCTGACAAAGCTGTTCTCTAGATAAAAGCAAGATATTGGGAGATTAAAAAAGCGACAGTAGTTGCTCTGCATAAGCCTGGGTCAAAACAAAAGGCTAAAAACTACATACTAGTAAGTCTGACGTCGGTTCTGTGCAAATGCCTAGAAAGGAATGTGCGTAAGCATATGGCCGCGTACCTAGTACAGTATGAGCTACTACCTTCAGTTCACAATGGCCTCACTAAGAGAAAATCATGCATATAGAATCTGCTAGCCTTTCTCGAAGGAGTCACAACGCTTAGACAGGGGTCAGCATGTCGAGGTCTGCTACCTGGACTTTAGTGAAGCCTTCAGCTCCGTAAGTCATCAAAGATTGATCCAAAAAATGCAATTCATGGGAACTGGGGGCGGGGAGTTAGAGAGTGACTAAACTGCTTTACAACAAACCGCACCTTTCAGGTCAAGGTTGGTACGCACCTATCGATGCCGGCAAACATGACTAGCGGTGTCCCTCAGAGTTCTGCACCAGGCTCACTGCTATTCCTGATGTTCGTCAATGACCTACCACGGGGCCACATCAAGGTAGCTGAGGCGAATGTATATCAGAACCTGCAGGCCATTATACGATAGTTAGAAAATTTGGATCTTCCTCTTAATCGATCCAAACGTCAGTTTATGATTGCCGAGGTTGAACTGGACAACCAGAATGGAACCCACTTTAAGAGAGCAAGAAAAGTTAAGAACCTGGGAGTCGTCATACCGTACTACTTCAAATCCTCACAGCAATATCAGGGGGAACCCAACATAGTTCGAAGGGAACTCTTTCGTCTACACTCCACGATTACGTGTGGGGACTCGAGGTTCTCATCCCTCTATATAAGGCCATAGTTAGACCACACTTGGAATATTGTGTTCAGGCATGGGTATCCTACTTTTGGAAAGACATCAAGTGTCTAGAAAGAATGCAATGTCGGGCTACAAGGATAATGGTGGGACAGAGAGGTAAGAGTTACGAGCAGAGGCTCAAAGACCTAAATATGTTCTGACTGGCAAGAAGGAGAATCAGGGAGGGACCTTATGAAAGTGTTTAAGATCATAAACGGTCTCTCCGGACTCAAGTTTGCTTACACGTTCTTCCCAATCTAGCCCGCACCAAACTACGCAAACATCAGCAGTCGAAGATTTCTAAATGATAAATATCTTCCATGCGCAACCGTAAAGCAGAACTAAACGCACACTGGGACAGTTTATTAAATGAAAATAAACTTCCGGTGCTATTAAGGAAATAATATATTCTCACTTTATTAACTGGCTGTTTTTCCTGATACCTACCGGGTTATCGATAATCATGGGATGTCAGAGGCCAGATCGCTTCCTCAGGTCATGAGCTAGCATGAAAATCGGTGCTTACGTAGTCTGGCTCAGGTTGGATGGAGTGAGCGGGTTAATAACTTAGGAGTAAGTCGTCGGGTGTTTGGGAATACATCCAACAAGAACTTGCTATCGCATCGAATCCAGCTCAATAGGCTCCGTTGGTTAGGACACGTTTTGCGTATGTCCGACGGTCACTTACCGTAGCGCGCCTTGTTTGCAGTGTCTGTTACAGGCTGACTAAAGCCACTTGGAGACGAGGCATAAAGAAATGCACAGAGCGATTAGATAGAGTAGGTGTCTCTCGTCTTCCGGGTTGGGGTCTAAAAGACTCCAAAACCGCATGTTTGGAGACTCTGATGGTCATGAATGCGAACCGATAGCAATGGCGATCATGCTGTCATGCTGTCTTATCGACCAGAATGCTTGAAATTGTATATATGCACAGCTGGACTGTTTACTCTTTGTGTTCACCAGAGAGGTTCGCTTTCTTTTCTCCGTCCCTAAAAATAGGTCCACTCCCTGTCCACCTCAAATTTCACCACTAACTTTGTATGCATTGCGAGTTTGGCAGAGGTTAGTGAAGTTTGCTTCACTGTATTACGCTGTACAATGACGGTGATGAGGTAGCATTTCCATCTCTAAACCTTAGGTTCACAATCTGAAACTGTCTCATAAGAATGATTATTTCCGTTCGAACCCTTGGACTATGGTGAGGCTCAAAATTGATTCAAATAATATTCCGATGGGACTTCAGTTGGTCAATTTTGTTCCATTTCTTTTCCTTTAGTAAAAAGAAACACGTTGTCACATTCCTCTCAGATTAAAACCTCCTAAAAGAGAACACTCTCCTGTAACAGACACATTTAAAAGGTGAAATACCTGTACATCAAATGAGAGTATTACATTGTTTTATTGTTTTTGTTTGAAGCAAACAAATTCACGTTTGCAAGCATGCGGAAGGGAAAAGCAAGTTCAGATGAGGTAACACAATCACTTCAGTTTAGTTTTAACAACCAATAACCATGCACCTCTGTGTGCCGGTTTTGGTTGCCAACCTTTGGTCGCCCATTTGGATAAAAGAGCAGGATGAAGATTGAAATGTTGAAAGCAAATTCAAGCGGAAGATGAAGAATTCATATAGAGTCATGTTAACAGAATGATATTTAGATGCATGAGCCTCACTGTTTGCGACATCCAGCCATGTCGCTCATTATCTGTGACCATCGGTGACCATCATCTCCGGATTCCCCAGCTAGGGAGCCTAACGGTATCTATGTGACCCAGTTTCTTGGTTAAGGATTTCATACCTTCAGGCCGTCTTCACTTGACCGCCCTGGACCTTTTCCAATCGTTGCCTGCCTCGTCAAACATCGCTCCTCGTGACAGCCTATCTGGTGACACATGCCCCAACCAACAGTCTATGGAGGTCGACTACTTACTCCAGTGGACGACCGCAACTACTTAAAACTCTACGCATAACTTCAGCACTGCTCGTCCGGTTACCCCACCAGACTCGTGCGATGAGACGTAGACAGCGTTCGAACACCGATAATCTATTTTTTATCCCGTTCCCATATTGGCTAAGTCTCTGCACCGTAGAGGAGGTAGACAATAAATTCCACCAAATAGGTGATCCGCTACGACTGATTTTACTCTATGGGATGAGCACTTTATTTACTAGACCTTGAATCGAACCAACAATGTAATCATTTCTGTCTGATACATATTCTTTTAAGTGGCACTACCAGGTGACTAATGTAGCTTTTAGTTGGCTTCAGCCATTTGCATTTTGTTTTATCTCTAGCAATTGACGAATTTCGGTTTGTCTCAGGGGGACTGTTATAGTGTACTCGATATAATTTTCAATGCGTCT